ATCGACGCGGCGTCACCCGGACAGCCCAGATCATGACTCTGGCCGCGGAAGCCTACGACATCAGTATTGTTCTTGTTTGTGTTTTTTGGCGATTGTCCGACTTTGCCGGCTAGATAACGATGTTCCCCATTCCTGTGCTTAGTTTAATTCCCATGCTTGGTGGTAAGAAAGACATGTGGCGAACCCGACGTATTCCCTTTATTACAACTAGCAATCTCCACATCTGAGCTTTCTTCATCTCACAGCTACAGAATCTGAGAAGATTTTAAAGAAAAGTTACAACTATTTTTGCCTCGACCGGGAATCGAATCAGGGATTACACCACTGAAACCTAGTGCTCTACCTATAAGCCATTCTAGAGGCAATCTTGTTCTTATATGAAGTAAATTACTTTAACGCGTTGTGTAGCGTCGCATAACTCTCAAAGATTAGCTGCTTGTGGGCAGAAGTTTGGTAAATAAGTTTTATCGTACTTGATATATTTAAAATATTTAACTTTTAGAGCAACTTTGCGAAAATTACTTGTGATATTTTCAAAAGTTTCTGGAAAATGGATTTAATTCTTTATTAATTGTTTTGTTGAATTAGATGAAACGCATTTATAAATATGTTGTATTTCCAAGTTTTGTTAAACCACTAAAAATTTTAAAATAGCAAAATTTCAAATTTATTTTCGAACCTGTCCCAAACTTCCAATATTAAAGTTAGATATATTTTCTTTAATGCATTCCCTCATCTATAAATTTCTAAATGAACTATGTTGTGTTTGCGAAAAGTTTCTACATATCGCGCAAACTCACTAGCTTTATTTCGTAATTCAACCGTTCATATTTTAATGATTTTTTCTTACTTAGTTCAAACTGTTATTGTAAGTTCTTCTTCTTTTCCAGACGGGAAAGCACTTCCACCGAACGTCACTGCTCATCAAGGCCTTCAACCACAAATTCCGGCTCGACCTCGAGCTCAATACGTAAGTACAATCCTTTCTTTACGTTCCGCATGCTTTTTTTTCTTTGCTCCTCTCTCCGTATTGTTCCAGGGAACTTTCCGTCCTTTTTATTTTTGTTATGTGTACTCTGTTGAGGCACCATTATGTCAATACATCTTTGTTACTGTTGCATCGCTGAGAGTGCGTCTTTTCATTTCGAAAATTAAATTTCTTGTTGACCTTCTCGAAGTTCCATTTAATTATTATTCGAGCAAATTTCATATTGGCCTGCGAATTCTTGGTGCTTTATGTATTTTTTGAAATACGAAATTTAATTAAATTAATTTTGATAACATATTATCTAAAATGGAATTAATAAGGAGTAAAACTTTGGTTTTACCAATCTATCGACAGTAAAAATTTCATGATTTCACTGTATGACTTTAGGGCATAATATTAAAATGTATTAGAGATTCACGTACCACACGACTAGAATTAAAGCTCCATTGTATGTACTCAAAATTGGCTGAAAAACCTGTTTCGTTAAGTCCACACATCAGCTTTTTTTATTTCAATTGAAAATCTATGGCGTCACAAATAGACGAGCGTTATTGGAAATCGTTTCAAACAGTATAAAAAAGAGATGGAGAATTGCGAGTGGTTTCATTTAGGTTAAACCCTTGGAAACACATTCGCCGTTATATAATCGATTGCATAATAAGAGAACAAAAATTGTGCTCGGTACCCAACAGTACTTCAATAAATGTCACGTTCTACTAGAGAATGTCGAAGCCAGTATAATAAATAATGTGCCACAGGTAGGAGACAAGGACATAATAAAAAAAGTTTCACTTCGTATAGCACCACTATTTTCTCGTTGTAATGAAAATAAACTGTTCTCCACAAGTTACCCCGCGTTTGTACTTTTTTTTATTTTATGCATCTATGGTTAGCCGATTTAAATGCATAAACAGCACTTTTGACCAGATTTTGATAAAAATGTAGTATCGGGGTTGTTAATTCAAATAAAAGTCTATAACACTTGATGGTATTTAACTATCTCTGAATCCTCTCGCCAAATATCTGAATCGCATTTCACGAGTTTACTATACGCATGAATGAATAATAATTGTAATGACACTTTTACCTGTGCTTTTCCGCTGCATAGGGCATATTCACGATGCATTCATACAAATAATGCAGTTAGAGCCCCAGCCCACATGTACATACTTCATTGCGTGATTCAGTCTCAGTTAATTTGTTCAATTAATTTACTAAGACATTCTTTGCCCTGGAAAACTAATTTTAAAACATTATCTTATGTGGTTGGATTTGAGATATTTTCCACAGACATTTCATGGAAATAAGCAAATAAGGATGCGAAAGCTCTATGATAATGCATATTTATAGAGCCGTTATGATTCTTTTTCAATATTCCATGTAGCATCGAGTCTCAATAAAATACACCTTTTCCCATCTTTGTACTTATATGTACTCATTATTGATAGATAAAAGAAAAATTTTAACACATCAGTATAATAATTCAGACAGCTCTCAAAGCAAAACACACACGTCTTCTGAAAATGTATTGTTAAGTACCTTTAAATGAATTGGACACATATTCCTAGACACTTAATTGATTTTAATTGAGAAATCTAAAATGTACGTGAATCATTCTTTGAGACGCTTTTACTAATGAACTTCCTTTCTCCGCTAGTTGATGAAAGGAGCGTAGCGAAATGTACGTGGTCAGACGGAAGAGCGAGACTCATGGACCGAGACTCGCCACGTAAAATAAGGCAAATTCAATTCAATTCAATTCAAACTGGAGCCGAAATACTCTAAAATATTTTTGGGGGGATTGAGAAAGTTTTGACGAGTGTTAACGTGATATTTTTAATGTAGGGCCTTACTTTGATACGTATTTGTAATTGCATTATTAGTGACAGTGAATCCAGCATTTTTCTCCCGTCTCCTTTGCTAGGACGCAGCACAGATGAGGGAGGAGGTGGCCAGTTGAAAATTAAGCTATTTCTCATTCAGCATATATTTTCATGTTCATCTTTCGTTAGAAATATATCACTTATTTATACAAAACTTATTATATAATAAATGACATGCATACAGTGTTTTTTTCTGCAAAATACTCAAAATCTGTGGGCATTCAATTAAAATACTTTGTGTAATTGTATTACTTTATTACTTGTAACGTCTATATTGCTATATTTAAAAATCAAATAAGAAAAACTTTAGCAACGTCTCAAGGGTACTTTGCTGAAATTTGGGTACTTTGCTAAAATTGAAAAAAAAAACATTCGGAACAATTTTTGAGAAATCTTGCTTTTAAAATTGCGTAAATTTCAGCCAAAGTTACGCAAAAACTACTCAAAAATGTTTAATAACCTTTTTGAATCCGTGTTTGAAGAGCAGGATTTAGTAAAGAAAAATCTCCACCTTCAATATTCTAGTTGTAGGAAGTTGCCGAAAAAATGAAGACCATTTCAGTTTTCGAAAATTCAGAGAGTTTAAGAAAATGAGATCTGTCCCATTTATCTTAAGCGTCCTTCGCTCTATCCGAGAAAGAATTTTAATAAAAATATTTGATCAACGTTTAATAAAATTTTTGAAATGTTTAATCTCCAAATAAAGTACCCTAAAAATCAGAATATCCGTTCAAATTCACAGAGTTTTAAGATAGGGGAATGTCAATTAGAAAAAATGTCTGAACGGTTTAGCCACTGGTGTTGAGCAGATAAGGTCGCGGTGGAGAGGTGGTGTCCAATCACCGACCAATTTTTCGTTTTCGTGTCAAGGACCCACCAAAGTATATTCTAGCTGCACAAAGACTTAAAAGGAGGTAACTTAGTAGATACATGACCGAAATGTGTCCATTTTTTTAATATAAGGGACCCAAAACAATACGAGTTTTTCTGTCGAAAAATCGGCTCTTTCGGCTGGAGAATTACAATTATTTTCCTTTACTACGTAATTATGAAGTAAGCGAGAAATTAAAATGAATGTTTTGAAGAAAAAACCAAACAGAAGTAATTCACTGTAATTTTGTGCTGAAAGATGGATTCTTCAATTATATCTGAAATACTAACTGAAATGATTGGAAAAATTAATTACATTTTCCCTGAAGAAGTTGAAATGAGTTAATACTTCCACTCCCGAGGCAGCAATCTGTCCGCGACAGTACTTTGTCAATTGAAGAAGTGAATTCAGATAGAAGAAAATGCGGTAACAAGTGAAACGAATTCTGTCTGCTGAAGCGGAGAGTAATAAATGCACATCTGCTGCCAATGTATCCTACCATAAAAATATCTGTAAAATATGCGTCGTCATTCATTAAGAGCACCAATCTTCCGCCCCGCGAACGTATAAAGTGTGTGTAAAAGGCTGTAAAACTCTTCGGTTGTTCATATGTGTAATATCAATACGGCGGTAAGAGTAACAAAAATAAATATAAAATGCTTATAATGTAAGAAAGTTTTGTAATTGTAATACAAGATGCATTGTGTATTTGGGAGAGAAAATACTTTAATCCTCGCAATATGCATGTAATTTATTTCACCTTCTATTTTTATAAATAGGTTTAATTTCTTTTATTTATTTACGTCAAAAACAGTTAAAAACTGTGTGTGACATGCTATGGGGAGAAGTTAGTGGAAGTTACATTATGTCCAGAAGCAAAACATGGGGCCATCTTAGCATTTACTCGAGGATCAGGGAAACTGGATCGAGATATATATAATTAATAATATATTATAGAATATTTTGCTAATCAAAGATAAACATGAAATATTTATATATAATATTACATATTTTAAGCTTGATCTGGCCAGAAGAGGACCGCGACATGTCGGTCGAAACGTCGGCACATCAGCCATCGACGCGGCGTCACCCGGACA